AGAAGAAGCTTGCCCTGTGCACCATCAGCAGGCTCCAGGCCAGCAATCTCCCTGGCTAGATACTGAGTATTCACCTGGTTCCATGGAAGTTCTTTGAAGAACCAGAGCTTCCAGCCTGGGATGAGGGCTTAGCACCTATATTATATTTCCATATTAAAAATGCCCATTCTGTGTCTGGCCTGATAGCCTACTGGTTAAGGTAGCAAGATCCCATATGGCTGACTGTGGTCAAATTCTGGTCCAGTGACCTGAAGAACAGACCAGGTACATATTCATGTGTACCTCAGATCCTGACAAGGTGGAGAAATGGAGAAGGGATTGTGGTATGACCAGGCCCCACTAGGGGTGCTTTCTCTCTCTCTCTGGCAAGCACATATAACCTCTGGCAATTAAAAAAAAAAAAAAAGTCCATTTCTGGATGAAAGGGGTCCTATTAGAAAATCTGAGGCTGGAGCCAGCACATAGCATGGTAGTTAAGGCACTGGACTCTCACATGGCCAACTGTGGTTCAAGACTGGAACCTGCCAGCTTGCAAATCATGCTGGGTGTGCGTGCATGCATGCCCAAAATCTCAAGAGGAGACTGGAGGGGATAGGGATTGTAGCATGGCCATCCTCCTGAGGGATAATTTCTTCCTTTTTTTCTCTCAGTCTCTCCCCTGTAAGTATAATTTCTTCCTTTTTTTCTCTCAGTCTCTCTCCTGTAAGTACATAGACCCTATGACAAAAAAAAAAAAGCTGAGACAAAAATTTTCTCTCACAGTCTTAGCACTTGGCTCCATAATGCTGCTCCAACATTTGTTTCATCGTGGCCTGTGAGACCAGAGATAAAAGCAGGGCAGGGACACTAACTGGTATAAATGTGGGAGAAGAACAAAGAGAGGAGGTTGATTCAGACAGGTGCAGAGTTCTTCACACAACCCTCTTGGAGATAAAATGCTCAGTATCCTGCTCTCAGAGTGAAAGTACTACTTTTCCAGAGAAAAGACTATTGGAGTAACATTTTTAGGCCTTCTGTTCATCCCCTACTTGCTTCTTCCTACGTGAGGAGGCAAAAAGGCCCATCTCTTGTGCTCCACGGGATATGAAGCAGGCCACAGTCCCTGAAGCTGCCCAAGCAAGTGCGCTTCAAGATTCTCCTGCACACTCACACAGACCTCAAGTTCTCAGTTACTTTGGGATGGTTGTAAAGGGGCAGTGTGAATCTCACTTGACCCAGATCCAAGCTGTGTCTGTCAGCGCAGTATATTAAAAACACACGGCTTCTTGGAGCTAATAGTTCTGACATTTTATTTTCATTTTCCTATGTCACCTTGTTCCTATTTGCTTAAGAACGTAAAGGGGGAAGTAATGACTAGTAGTTATCGCTAACCCTGCAACAACTAATCTTCCAGTGTTCCACCAATTCAACCAAAATACTCTGCTCAGCAGCATTCAGGGGCTTCACTTAGGGGAGATACAGTTTTCACTGTGAATAAAGACCTCGTCGTTTCCTCCCAAGAAGGTTCCAAAGGAGAAATATAAAGATAAAATATATAATGAGTTCCATTGTCTTGAACTCATTTGGGTGAATGAAATCATCAGCTTTATAGTATGAGGCTACCGCAAAGATAAGGTCCTTGGTTAACATACCTGGAGTTGACAGAAAAAGAAAGCCTGGTGCAGAGAAAGGAGAGAGAAAGCCCAACTATACAAGTGCTCGGTGCAAATACCAGCTTAGAGAGAGAAGGAAGAAGCAGGAAGCAGCAGGTGGGAAAGGGCTGTGAGCACCAGTAAAAACTGAAGGCCCACCCTGGTGCCTGAAGTTATGCTCAGAGACAGCCCAAGGCCCAGACTTCCCAGTCCAGGTATCTTAGTAGCAGAGGAATCTAAGAATGATGCTATAAAAGCAGTGATGAATTAGAAATAGACATGAAAAGTGTGGAACCAGGGTCAGAGAAGACCAAAAGGATCAGTACAAAAATGAAAAGAGAATCTTCTTTGGGTCTTGGTACAAATGTTAACTGCAGAGATCCAACCTTTGTATTAGTCAATGCCAACGTTTATGTGTCCTTAGTAAGGGAAATGCAAACAAGGTGTCTAGGAATCATTTATTTTTATTTTTTGAGAGGTTTTTGCTATAGGGTGCGTGCGCTCACCAGAAAGACAGAGAGAGACACAGAGACAGAAAGTGAGAAATCAGCCCCCAGGGAGGATGGCCACACTGCAATCCCTTCTCCTCCATTCTCCTCTCGGGATCTTGGGCACACACACATACATGGGCACACACACATACATGCCTGGTGTGAGTCTAAGCCACCAGGTCCTGGACTCAAACAGTGGTCAACTACATGGGAGTCTAGCAACATAGCCATTATGCCAACTGCTGGTCCCTGTTATTGAGTAACTTCTTAACATGGTCCACAAGACTGCATGATGCGACGTCTCCAGGTCCATCTGTCTCACTCGCACCTCCATTATCCGTAGGGTTCTGTCTCTTAGTGGATATTTCTCATTCTTACCACAAAATATACTAATGCTCAGAACACAGTCGAAGCCTACAAAGTCACTATTTTTTAGAAGACCCAAACATTTTTGCTTCCACTAATTGAATTGTATGCTCACTAAACAATATATTGTGTTTGCAAACCTATTTATGTGAATTATGCTATAATCTTAATTACAGAATTTAATCTAATATTTGATGAACCACTGAAACATGGGTAGGAAAACTGTTGCTGTTTCTTTGGAAACCATGAACATCTTCAGTAATGGCAAGCTAATTTTAAAAACCAATGCTCTTGCTATTGGGTTTAGGCAAGTGAATATTTTAAAACTGAGAAAATATAATAGAGAGGGTCTGGACTCTGGTAACTTCACAAGTATCTCCATGTTGCTGCCCAAGTTTACACTAAGTGCAGTAGAAAGAGTAGACAGGGTATTGATGCAAGAAAGGGAGTAAGGAGCTATCAGCAGACCCCCAAAATCAAAGAAAAGCTTTTGTCCTAGGTTCAATGGGTAGTAAATAGATATACATGTGTATGTCTTAAGTTAAAATAAAAAATGTTAAACTATGTATGCATCATATTAAATGATTTCCTTACTTTACCTTTCAGATTTATAGACTGGGTTCCAATTGCATTGGATAAGAGAATCTCTCCTCTACTGGCGACTCTCCAACTATCTCATCTTGGATGCTTGTACATACGCTATTTCCTCTGACTGGCATGCCCTCCTCACCTTGCGAGTTTTGGCAAACTCTTACTGCCTCAAAAGTGAGCAAGAGATCTTGGCTTCAGGGAAGACTTCTCTGACTCTCCCTGGTCCTTTGAGCTGGAACTCTCTCTGGGATTCTACTGCCCTCAGTAAGGTCCTCCATTGTGCTCTTATCTCTACACTACTGTCTGTCTCTCACTGGACTGGGAGTTCCCGAAGAACAGGGTTGCTGTCTATAATCTCTGGGTTTCCTGTATTAGCACAGGCAGGTAAGTTGAATAAGGGAAAGAATAAAGGAATGAATGAGTGAGGCAGGGTGCATTCCAAAGGACAAAGGACAGAATATTATGAGGTGAAGAGACCCAGCCTCAGTGGTGCAGTCAGTAGAGTACTGAACTACAGTGCTGGAAGTCACATGGCCGACTGTGGGTTCAGATCGTTGGCCTGATGAACCTGAAACATGCTAAGCACCTGTGTGTCTGAGGTCCGGATGAGATGGAGGGCTATGGGTAGGGTGATTGTGGTGTGACGAGACCCTATGAAGGGTGCTTTTCTCTTTCTCTCTCTCTTGCGTGTACGTGCTCTTTATGGTGAATCAAATAAATTTTTAAAAAAGAAAAATGTAGGTGGGAAGAAGTGACCATGAACCTTTCTCCAGATGGTGTGCACCCTCACCAGAGAGAGGAAGAGAAAAGAGACAGAGACTGAGAGAGAAAACATCCCTTAATGGGGCATGGTCATCTTGAGATCCTTGTCCCAGCATCCTCTTTCCTGTCAGGATTTTGGGCATGCATGCACATACATCTGTTGTGTTTTTCAAGCTGCTGGGGTTAGAAGTCAAATCACTGTCGGCCAAGTGTAATCTGACTTCTTATGCGCAATGCTTAATTGACATGCTATGGGGCCAGCCCCTTAGGAATTTCTTTAGCAAGCTTTTTTTTTTTTTTTGAGATATTTTTGCTATAGGGCGCGTGCGCTCGCCAGACAGACAAAGAGAGACAGAGAGACAGAAAGCGAGAAATCACCCCCCAGGGGGGATGGTCACCCCGCAATCCCTTCTCCTCCATTCTCCTCTCGGGATCTTGGGCACATACGCACACGCGCCCGGCGTGAGTTTTAAGCCACCGGGTTCAGGACACGAACCGCGGTCGACTACGTGGGTGTCCAGCAACATAGCCATTACGCTAACTGCTGGTTTCCCTAGCCCCTTAGGAATTTCTGAGAACATTCAAAACTGGAAGAACCTCTGTTGAAGGTTGAGGTAGGGAGGGTCCCAAGGAGATGAAAACAGTAAGGGAGATACATAGAAGACACTGCCCTAGAACAGACTGACATCTCCAGGTGTCTATTAAGGATGACATTCTGGCTAGAGAAGCCAGATCCAGCAGGGTCTGGTGGGTGTAGCAGATGAAATGGGCCCCCAACAGGGAGCTTCCTTTGGACTGCGAGGGCTGGGTCTCACCTGAGAGGATGAAGGTGCCGCTATCCTTGCTCACTACCTCCCACGGGGGGCTGCGGAGCATCTGCCTCTTGGAGCGCTCAGAGGCTGGGGGCTCGTAGTGTACGTGCAGGATGAAGTTGAGTAGGCGCAGCTGTCGCCCTTCCCAGTAGCGCTGCAGCCGCCGGAGTGTCTCTTGGGCATGAATCCGTTCATTTTCACACTGCCAGACCTGGAAGAGCAGGGTCTCAGGACTAGGACTGGATAAGGGCTCAGGAGATTGCCCTGGAACTAGGTCTTGAGGAACAGGTCTGAGGCAGAGCTCAAGAGCCTGGGCTTGGAGAAGTGGAAGTCACCAAGGCGAAGTGGGAGTGGGACCACTGGGTTTCAAAGAGAGGCCATCAGTGACGCCTAACTACTTAGACCCATGGCCACTGCCATTAAACTCACCGCCTTCTGGGGCCAGCAGGTGGTGCAGGGGTTTAGGGTGCTGGACTCCCATATGGCCGACTGTGGTTCGAGTCCTAGATCTGGTGGTTTGCTTTTTCACTTTCTCTTTCTCTCTCTCTCTGTTCCTCTCTGGTCAAATTAAAATAGATAGATAGATAGATAGATAGATAGATGGATAGATAGATAGATAGATAGACAGATAAAGTTAAAATAAAAAATAATTCTTTAAAAAGAAAGTCCCTCCCTTCTAAGGTGGAGGGTCCAGCTGAGCAGATAATACCTCAGCCAGCTCATGCGTTTTGGGAACAAGGTGAGTGTCAGGGGACATCTAACATACTGTGTGCCCACAGCTTCAGAGTTACCATTCATTCATTTCCTTCCCACTGGTGGTGGTGAGGGACACATTCTCAGTTTGCAAGTCTGGAATCACCTATCAAGCCCCCGTCTGGAGATTCAAGGAGACCATGTCTACCCCCTCTGGAAGGTCACCAGCATGCCAACATCCACTGCCCCCTTGTCTCAGGGGCTGCTGGGCCTTGACTGGCTCTATTATAGGTTCTGGACTTCAAACACCTCCCTCCCCTGCTCCCATAGGCCCCACCTGGTTGATTCGATCTGCAAACTCCAGCAGTGGACAACTGAACAGCTGGCCCAGTGTCAGGAGTTCCATGTTGGGGAGATTGTCCAACCCTAGGGCTGGGGGAAGAGAGAAGTCAGAGCAACACCTGGTGTGTGGCAAAGCCCAGTGCAGCGCCCAGGGCCCTGTCCTACCCCAAGTCCATGCCCAGTCCAAGGCTGAGAGCCTAGCCCAGCTCAGACCCCAGACAGCAGATCTCAGAGCACAGCAGAGCCAAGAGCTCAGGACCCATGGGTCAAAGCACAACTCACTCCAGCCCAAGCCCAAACCTCCTCAGCCGAAGACCCTGCATGGTAGTGAGGGAGGTAAAATTTTTATCCCTGTTGGGGAAAAAGGTTATGGTATGGGGGAAGGGTAGGAAGTGACCTGGGCAGGCAAGGTATTTCCTCAGAAGCAGCCTGGGGCTGACTTGTTGCATTCCTTTAATCCCTGTATCCTTCCCTCCCTCTGACTCTACCCAAACACACCTCGCAGGAGGGGTTGGCAATTGGGATTCTGCAGCTGGAGGCTGCCCAGCTTGGTAAGCAGCGGCAGGTAGCTGCGAAACTCCTCCAGCATGCGCATGCAGCGTTGCAGCACTGGGCTGTGCAGCCCCAGGGTGGTGCTCATCCGCGCTGCCTCTGTCAGCCAGCCTTCTGTCTTCTCCTGGGCCATGGCCAGACTGAACTGCAGGGAGAAGGGCTCACTGTCAGCTAGACACCCTTCCCCATCCCTACTCTGCTCCCTCGGACCCAGGCAAGAGCTCCAAGGAAAGGCGACAGCACCTTAGCAAAAGCCATGCACTTCCACTCGCTGAGGTTTTCCGAGATAACTCGGTACAGGTGCCAGATGCGCTGCTGCTGCAGGATAGGCCGGGTCCCACAGATTGGCAAGGACACAGGACTCTCATCCCCTGTGGGAAAGGGTGTACTGGAACCTGGGCTGTTTTGGGTAGGGGGTTGGGAGAATAGTCAACCAACAGTCCATAATGACAGAAGCCAGGGTCCAAAAAGTGGAAGAGGGAGAGAGGGAGGGGGAGTTCAAAATTGTTTAGCTCAACAGCGGAGGTGGGGTGAACCCATGGGTCCGTTACCAAGGAAAGGATGAGAGAGCTGAGAGAACATGCTGGCAGGGAAAGGGAAGGGTTCCTTTTGTAGCAATCTCCATTCTACTCCAGCCCAGCTACACTAGACTCCACTGTTGCTCAGGTGCTCCAAGTTCCCTCCTGCTAAGGGTCTTGATCAGCAGTTTATTCTTTTCTTTCTTTTTTTTTTTCTTTTTCTTTTTTTTGAAGAGGTTTTTGCTATAGGGCACGTGTGCTCACCAGACAGACAGAGATAGACAGAGAGACAGAAAGCGAGAAATCACCCCCCAGGGTGATGGCCACACTGCAATCCCTTCTCCTCCATTCTCCTCTCGGGATCTTGGGCACGCACGCACACACGCACCTGGCGTGAGTTTTAAGCCACCGGATCCAGGACGCGAACCACGGTCGACTACATGGGAGTCCAGCAACATAGCCATTACGCTAACTGCTGGTCCCAGCAGTTTATTCTTTCTGGAACACTCTTCTCTCAGAGCCACAATTCATGCCCTCACCAACTTCAAGTCCTCGCTCAATGTCACCTTCTTTATGAAGCCTATGCATACTCTTTCATTACAAATTGCCTTTTAGGGGCCAGCAGGTGGTATGGTGGTTAAGAGCCCTGGACTCCCACATGGCCAACCACAGTTCAAGTCCTGGACCTGGTGGCTTGCTTTCTCATTTTCCTTCTCTCTCTCACTCTGTCTCTCTCTGGTCAAATTTAAATAAATAAATACATAAATAAAGGTAAATAAAATAATTACTAAAAAAAAAAAAAGTTGCCTTTTAGGACCAGCAAGTGGTGTGGTGGTTAAGGTGCTAGATGACCACATGGCTGACCATGGTTGAAGTCCTAGACCTAGGAGCCTGAAAATCATGTCGAGTGAGTGTGCGTGTGGGCAGAAAATCCAGAGAGAAGAATGGAGGAACAGGCCATCCCTACTGTGGGAAGTGATTTCTCACTTTTCCTCTCTCTCTGTCTCTCTTCAGTGAGTACATGTGCCCTATGGCAAAAAAAATTTTTTTAAATTGTTATCTACCCTCCCTGGCATTCTTAACCCTTCCTACTCAACTAAAAATTTTCCTTTTTCTTTAGTTTTTCTATGGGGCACATGTGCTCCCTGGAGAGAGACAGAGAGAGGGAAAGTATGAAATCACCCCTTAGACAGGATGGCCACACTGCAATCCCTTCTCTTCCATTCTCCTCTCAGGATTTTGGGCATGCATGCACACATGCCTGGCATTTTTTCAATCTTCTGGGTCCAGGACTTGAACCAGGCAGTTAGCCATGTGGGACCTAGCTGCCTTAACCACCATGCAGTCTGCTGGCTCAGTATATTTTTTCCTATACTAACATATACTACAGGATCTAGTTACATTGTATGTTTATCATTTATAGTCCTTCTCCCTCATCAAGAATGTTGGGTTCATTAGCAAAGGGGTGTTAGTTGTTCATTGAGTACCTTAGGCCTGGTATACAGTGGGTACTCAGTAGGTATGTGTTAAACGAATTAGTGAATGAATTCTCAGCCTTAGGTCAAGTTCAGCAGTAGGAATGTGAAAGAAGACCTGGCCCACATAGAGGGATCTAAGGGGTAGATGGTGAACTAGCAGCTGTAACTGCCTCTAACAATTATCCCCTCCCTCCATCTCATACAATAAACTACTCCATTAGTTCTTTTCTTTTTTAAAAAAAAAATTGTCTAGATTTATTTAATTTTATTTATTCATTCAAGTTTTCTAATTTGACCAGAGAGAGACACACACAGAGAAGGAAAGTGAGAAAGCAAGTCACCATGACTTGAACTGTGGTCGGCCATGTGGGAGTGTCCAGTGCCTTAACCACCATGCCTCCTGCTGGTCTCTCTATTAATTCTTCACCAAGTATTTATAATCAGTTGTGAGCTATATGTCACAACTAATTTGTATAATTATAGTTCTGAGATTTACAATTTGCTTAAAAGATATCAGACCACAATCAAGGTTATTGCTATAATTTTGTCATTCTCATTTACTTGAATTCCAGCACACTTTCTTGAGTGGGAGAAAAAGTGGTAGTTACACCCAGATGCTGGAAATCAGAAAACTTGTTTGTTATCTGTTATGGATATTCAGAATATTAGAAAGCTGAGAATCACTAGGCTGTCAGAGCTCTGGTCTGACAAAAAGTAAAATGACAGTAAATCTAAGCTCTTCTTAGCTTTTTTTGTCTGAACTCAAATGATCTGGTGAGAGACTCATATAATACTTGATGGTTGTCTCAACATCAAATATTAGACAACAACAACAACAACAAAACCAAAAACCTTCCTTTAAGAAAGAGCACACAAGATATCTCCAAATACATGAAAAGATAAAGACAGACTTCAGGATTAAGAACAAATATCCTGGGACCAGCAGATGGCATTATGGTATGTCACTGGACTTCCACATAGTCAACTGCGGTTTGAATCCATGACCCGGCAGCTTAAAGCACCAGGCACATGCACATGTGTACCCAAAAAATCCCAAGAGGAGAATGGAAGAGAAGGGACTATGGCATGGCCCTCTCCCTGAGGGTGGGGAGGGTGATTTCTTGCTTTCTGTCTCTCTGTCTCTCCAGTGAGCACATATACCCTATAGCAAAAACCTCTCTTTAAAAAAAAGAAAAAAAAAAAAAAGACAAGCTCATGATTTTCACCTAGAACTCAGAGGAAAAAAATTTTTAAAATGAGAAATAGTGAAGAATATAAAAGAAATGGAGAGATGGAGCAGGCCCAGCACACGCATAAGAATTCTAGGAGACCAGAGCAAATAAAAGAACCATAATCAAGCAGTTGAAAAAAAGTATTACCTACAAAAAATCAAATTGGGAGCCAGCAGATGGCATTGTGGTTAAGGCACTGGACTCCCAGTGGCTGACCGCAGTTTGAGTCCCAGATCTGGTGGCTTGATTTCTCTCTCTCTCTTTCTCTGTCTCTCTGTAGTGTGTGCACATGCTGTGTAGCAAATTTTTAAAAATTGTAATAATAAATAAAATTAAATTATTATTTAAAAAAAATCAGATCAATATCAGATTGTCCACAATGCTGAATATCAGAAGACAATGATTCAATAGATCTAAGTGTGATGAAAAATTTTGTGACTTCGGAATTTGTAGCTGAGCTGTGATATGAGGGCATTGTAAAGCCATTCTCAGCATATGAGGACTCAAATATTTTTATACCTCTAATTCCCTTAGGAAAAAAGTACTCAAAGATATACTCTAAGGACAGTGCTGTAGCCTAGTGGTCAAGGGAGCCAGATCCCACATGGCCAGCCATAGCCTGAATCCCAACTTGAAAAACATGCTGGGCATGTGTGCTGCATGCCCCCAGTTCCAAGAGGGTGGAGAAGATATTGTAGCATGACCACACCCCAATGGGGGATGCTGTCTCTCTTTCCTGCTCTCTCTCTGGAGAGTGCATGTGGCCTTTGACAAGAAAGAAAGAAAGAAGGAAGGAAGGAAGGAAGGAAGGAAGGAAGGAAAGAATGAAAGAAAGAAAGAGAAAAGAAGGAAAAGGAAAGAAAAGAAGAAAGGAAAAGAAAAGATTCTATCCATATAGGGAAGAAAATATGTAAATAATAAAAAGATGTGACTTTTTAAAAATGGCAACAAGTAAACAAAACCAGTAGATCTCATATGTCAAAATAGTTGTTAACATGGTTATAAAGCAAAACAAACGTAAAACGTAATGATTAAAAATAGAAGACACATAGAAAAAAGGGGGTAGTTATTAATCAGCTATATCTAAAATCCTAGATTATTTTATAAAAATCGGGAGTTTGGTGAGAGGATGGGGATGGAAGAAGGAAGTAGCAATGCTGTAGGGTCTCCTGGGCCTGCTCCACAGGGCCCAAGTCCCCTACTCAGCTTTTTCACAAATATCTTTAACCTTGGGAAAGGTCAAGGTCTGTGGGCCATGTCAGAGTATGGGCTTGAAGATGGTTCCAGAATGTCCTCCACCTCCATCTGGCCAAATGACCCTAGGATTGGGATGCTCACAGACAGTAGGAGTTGGTAGTTGGCTATGGGACAACTCAGAAACAATGTGCTCCTTTGAGGGACACAGGTCTTCATGTGCACAAAGTCTTCATGTGCAGAGGGAAACCAGCCTACCTGAATCATTGTAAGAAAGGGTTGAAACCAATAGCTCTGTCCTGGTCTCTTCCAGTGGGCTATGAGGTATCCACACCACCACACTGGAAGCAGTGTCTACTGAGTATTCATGACCTATTCTTATTTGAGGCCTGCTGCCTGGCGTAGGACTATTGAATATGGGTACATGAAGGCTAAATCCTGCAATGAGGGCTGCTCAGGCATTTAACCCCATCACCCCAGAACATTCCAATGAAATATTCACCTGTTTGCTTTTCCTACCAGACTGCAAGCCTTCTAGATCCCTAGCCTAAGCACAACACCTGACATTCCCACATGTGATGGTTTTGTCCCTTAGCTTTGATTTCTCAAAGAAACCAGTGGAGATATAGGTATGTGACTCAACCGCGGTTTGAGTCCATGACCTGGCAGCTTAAAGCTCACACCAGGTGCATGTACATGTGTACCAAAAAAATTCCAAGAGGAGAATGGAGGAGAAGGGACTATGGCATGGCCATCTCCCTGGGGGCTTGCTTGGAATCACATAGACACAGGACCCTGAGTCCCATCCCTTATCCCAGTTGGAGGGCCCATTTCAGGGTGAGGTGGCAGGCAGGGGTCCTCAGTACCAGTGAAGGTAGTGTAGGTATGGTGCAGCTCTTTGAGGTGGCCGACGGTGTTCTGAAACTGAAGCTCCAGAGAGAGGAGCTGGCGCTCGGTGCTCCTCTGCTCTTGTGTGGGATCCATGAAGGGACCTGATACGGTCTTCTCAAGCAGGCTTTCTAGCTCCGTCAGTGCTGCCACCATCAGCTGCTGGAGCTTGGGCACGATGGCATGCCGCTTGCTGAGCAGGAACTCAGAGGCCTGGCTTTTCTCAAACTGAAATGCTTCCCACACATCCAACAGCTGTGGGGCAAGCAGAGGGCATCAGAGTAGATGTGGCTGTGGGGACGAGGCCCCGGGAGGAATGGGTGACTCCCCCATTGCCCTCCTACCGCAATGTCCAGTGCCTCATTCTCAGCAGTGAAGATCCCAAAGTGGTTGCGGATGAGTTCATGGAGTGACCGTACGTATTCCACTCGCTCCTCCAGCTTGGTGTACTGTTCGTTGGCCTCATTCAACTGCAGGGCTACAGCATGAGACCAGCGGCCCCACACCCCCCGTGCACCCCACTGGGCCCATCCCTTAGAGGCATTCCCGCCTTCTGGAATGGAGGATGCAGACACTGCTGTAGCATTTAACCAACTGGGATTGGGGTAATCTGGGATTGGATCCCAGCATTCTCCAAAAGTTCTCACCCACCAGGCCATTACTACCCTGATGACAGGGCAACATATTCCTGTCTGAATGATTGTCCCAGAGAGCAGAACCACATCTCTGAAAGCAAGACCTCATCTCTCTCATCATTCTAGAACCTCTCCTGACATGAGAAAACAGAGGACCAGGTAAACAGGAAGAGAACTAGGAGGAGCAGATTATATATGTGAGCATGGGTTTACGAGAATCAAGCCAGAATCAACACCTTCAGACAGTGTGCTAGACTTCTAAGCAGGAAGGGCCCTAGAGAAGATGGGAAGGCTGGAAGGGGAGAGCTCACCTTCTGGGAGCACTGTGCAATGGCATGGATGTCCGAGTTGATGGTCTGGAAGACCTGCATAAAGTCTGTGAACTGTGTCATTAGCTGCTGACTGCGGCTACAGCACTCGTCCTGCACCTGTGCAAGGATGTCCTTCCTTATGCTGTCCAGTCTGGATTCTGGGGATAGGGGAGTCAGGTGTAAGTATGCACGAAGAAGAGGGGGGACTGGGGGACTATAGTGGGCCTGGAGTGAGGATAGGCTGAAGGGGAAGCCAGACCTCACTCATTGAATGCTTATGGGACCTCTGCTCAGTGTCCAGCCAGCTGCTATACACAGGGCCTGTGCTCTGCATCAGTAGAAGAGTGAATCGATGGGACACAGAGCTTGCCTACTCTCAGAAGCTTACAATATGATGATGGAGACAGTACTGAGAAAACATAAACCAGTGTGCTATATCCCTTGTGAGAACCCAGGAGCCCTGAATCTGCCATAGCAAAGGGAGAGGGGACCTGAGAAAGCTGGGAAAGGCCTCTTCACCGAAGGGGATGTTAGAAGTGGACATGTTGAGTAATTAAAGTTCTAACTGCATGGAACAGCGTGTGTAAAGGCATTGAAATGACATGTTCAATGGGACCAGCAGATGCATAGTGATTCTATTACTGGACTCCTACACTGTTGGTCATGGTTTGAGTCCTGGACCAAGCAGCTTAAAATTCATGCTGGGCATGAGCATGTGTATGTGCATGTATGCCCAAGATCCTGAGAGGAGAATGAAGGACAAGAGATTGTGGTGTGGCCATCCCCCCGGGGGATAATTTATTGCTTTCTGTCTCTCTGTCTCTCCAGTGAGCACATGCACCCTATAGCAAAAATCTCTTTTTCAAACAAAAAGAAGTAATTTGTTCATAAATAGCAGAATGCCCTATCAGAGATGAAAGCATTCTGTTCTGGAATCTTCTATTTTATTTTTTAAACAGGGTCTTACTATGTCACGATCCTCTTGTCACAGTCTCCCAGCTGGGACTACAGGTTTACACTACTGTACCTGGATTTTGAGGTGGGCTGGGAATAGAACCTGGGCCTCCTAAGGGCCCTTGACCTGCCAAGCAGCAGCATCTACCAGCACACGCTACTGCAGCTGGGCCTGTTTTTGGAGTTTTACCACCTCCGCTCTGGTAGGAGAGGCGCCGAGAAGAGGATTAAAGGAAAGACGCTCTCAACCTAGAAGATGACCCTGGAAGCTGCCCTTGGTGGTATGAATGGCTTCACTGTCCCGGAGGGCAGGAATATACCCATGTAATATGTCGTCAAATCTAAGATGCTGCTAACTGTATGGAGCACCGTTATTTTATATACCACTAAAAAAGAAAACAACAATGTCATTTAAACTTTGACGTGACATTATTCACAAGACATTAGTTAAGCTCAGAAATGTTAAAATATTCACAGAGCCACACAATACCATACAGAAAGGAGGAACATCACCAGACACAATACAGACTGCTTACTATATACCAGATAATACCCCAATTCCTTTACCTGTACTAACCCACTTATCCTCACAGATTCCCTTTGACGTAAATATGAGGGGACTTAAAAATATTTACAGAAAAATGGAATTAAAGTACAAGTTTATTTTGGGATAAAATAATTTGGAATATATGAGTTTTTTTCATAATATGTATTTTCCATGCACTTTTTAAGACCCCATGTACTGGGACCAGCAGTTAGCATAATGGCTATGTCGATGAACTCCCATGTAGTCGACCGCAGTTCAAGTCCTGGACCCGGTGGCTTAAACTCACACCGGCGCATGTGCGTGTATACCCAAGATCCTGAGAGGAGAATGGAGGAGAAGGGATTGCGGCATGGCCATCCCCCCCGGGGGTGATTTCTCGCTTTCTGTCTCTCTGGCGAGCACACGCACCCTATAGCAAAAACCTCTCTCAAAACAAAACAAAACAAAGCAAAACAAAACAAAAATCATGTACTATTGTCCTTATTTTGCCAATAAACAAACTGAGGCTCAGAGAGGTTAAGTAACTTGATCAACATCACAGAGTGACAGAAGGATTCAAACTCAGACAGTCTGGTTCTATTCCATTATATTTCATGTTATAAACAGAAGCGAAAAATATTTTATATATTATGTATATGTAATATACATAATGTTATATATGATATATATCTAATGTTATGTGCAAAGTAAAACAGTCTAACTCCTATTAGCATCTTTGCACGTAGAAAGTAGAATAGTGAGTTCAAAGGCAGATAATTAAGATATATTGGTTATTCACTTTTAGAGCTTTAGAGGAAGTAACCAAGGAGTTGGGGCATGAAGAGCTGAGACTTAGAAAGCCTAGCAAGAGGGAACCTACCGAAGAGCATT